GCAGAGGAAGAGTTTGGATTCCACCATCCAATGGGTGGTCTTACAATTCCTTGCAAAGAAGATCAATTTCTCGACCTTACTTCTCGTTTGAGTGGCTAGTGACCATGAGAGGAGAGGAATGCAGGAGCCTCAAATGAATTGAAGAGGTCAATCAAGAGAATTAACAGATCTGCACCTTGGTTGATATTCTCTTCTGCAACATCGTCAGATCTCAAGTTTAAAACCGCACTGATTACAAACAAGTGAGAAGACAATATATTCAAAGGTGCTGAATGGATGAAGGACCAGCATTCAGCAAGTTTTCTCCAGTTCTATAGCAATTGGAAGGATTATTGCTCCGAGTTGCAGCCTGGAGGAAAATTAAAACACAATGACATCGAATCAATCTCTTCAACTTTGCAAAGCATCTACTTTGCCACTCCAAACTTGGAGCATATATAGATTTACTTTTGTACATGACCGGGTAGTAAATCTCCCCAATACAAACATCATTCAATAAATTCCTTTTCGTCTTTTTTGATCAAACCATTTTGTTTCATTCATGGATACCTCTCTACTTTGATGTAAAGAATAATAATTAATGGTGGATAAATTACAAATACCGAAGTTAGTTTGTAATTAACAGTGTTGAAAATTGTGACCTAACAGTTGAAAAATGCGACTCTGGTTGCAATTCAGGACCTGATAGTGCTTGGTTGGATGAGATCATGAGATAACCTTTCACTTGATGAATTTGTCCATATGGTGCTTCAAGGTTTTTCGATCGAGGAGTACAGAACTTGTTTGTGATTTGCTACCATAAAGCTGTGTTCATAGTGTCTTGTTGGTAGTAGACCTGGGCTCATAAATTTGTATACAGCCAGCTGATAAGTCTGCAGTAGTATAGAGCGTACCTTTTTACAGCCTTTTGTGTTATTAGTACAGTACCTTTACAGCTCCAAGCGCGCATGATTTACAGCTTCACAGTGCTTTTGTGGTATTTAGTGCTACAAACATTTTTTTAAAAGCTGTAGAATTTCTATATAACTATCTCTCTCTATATATATATATGAATTCAAGCTGAATTTGAATAACTCATGGGATGAAAAAGGACCAAAAGAAATTGATGATTGTAATATGAATCCAGGCCGAATTTGAATAAACTACATTAGATGTAATGTGGAGCCATGAAATTATGGCACTAATCCATGCCTGTGTGCTAATAATTAGAGTTTGTGCTTATTTGACAGAACCTTAGGCTGTGTTTGGAAACAATGTAAATAAATGTGAATGTAAAGATGTAGAGTGTAAAATGGTTCATATAAATTGTAAAGTTGGGTTAATTTTACACTAGTAAATTTATCTTCTTACCAAATAGATTTTTAGCTGTAATGAATGCAAACATGAATTTTAATAAAGCATATGCTTTTTTAATCAAACACCCATTTGAATGCAAATTTACTTCTTTTTTATTAATGTACTTTTACATTTTATTATCAATGTAAATATGCATTGGTTTATCATTTGTCAATGTATAAATGTAATGTTGCCAAACACAGGCAAAAGTGAACCAAAGTGCAAATTTACCTTGAATCAGGATTTCTTTACATTGTTTCCAAACGCAGTCTTAGACTCAGTTTGGAAGGAGTATAAATACAAATATGTACAATACAAATACATACAAAATAATACAAAATGTAAGATTTTGCACTCTACATATTTGTATTTGTATTTGTATTCTTCCCAACTGAGCCAATTTGTAAGCTGCTGTTGTGTTGTTTGTGTACTTTCTTTTATTTTTATTTTTTTGAGCAATTTCTACGATACCGAAAAGGTATGGTAATTGAAAAACTTTCATAAATCACACCCGCATGAAGTTGAATGAGTACCCGTTTTGGTTTTCAGATTTTAGGTGCCGCTTATACGATCTTTTTGGTACCCAACCAAAGGTTTAGCTTGAGGGAATAAAAAAAGCTATTATTATGTCAATGAAAAAAGTTCGAACAAAAATGATTAATTTAAAACTCAAAAAGATATGGATAAAAAAAAAAAGAAATCTATTGTATAATTTTCAGGAACTTGTTTTCCCTCATCCTCAACTCTTCTACAAAAAGCTATTTACACTTGATCATTAATCGCTTTACAAAATGTCATCATTTTCTAATCATAAACTAGACAAACAAGATGTGAGATCAAGAAAGTCATCTTCTTTGCAGGGGATGGTGAGAGCACCCATTGGATGATCGAATCCGAACTCCTCTTCGGAACCACAAATCGCTTCTTCTGACTCTGAGTCTCTCCCACATAAACGGCCAAGTGGCCTTTTGGGACATCCAAGGTTGCTGATGAACTAGATTGGTTTAGAGTCAGGAGGAAAGAAGGTCGAAGAATCATCTTAGCATGAGACAAAGCAGTAGGCAAACGGATACCCATGGCTTCTACGTACGTACGGTGAAGTCAGAAAGAGTTTGCAGATCCAAGAACAAACTTTTAAGAATAGAGCTAATAGCTAGGTTGCAATTTGTGAGGAATTGGAAGGTGAGATGGTATATCAAACCTGTATTGCATATATATATATATATATGGTTTTGCCTCCAGATGAATTGGTTGAGCCTTGAGTAGGGACATAAGTCATGAAGGTTCACATGGCTTTGCCTCCAGATCCATTGTCCTTATATTTTAGTTAATTAGGTCTAGATAGGGACATTAAGGAATGCCCGATCATGTCTGTAGAAGTGTAGAGTGAGAGGACGAAAATAGATCACAATGCCCAATCACTTGGGAAACAGCCCTAGTGTCTTGTCTACACAACCCAACTTGACCTTGACCTTGAGGAAGGAATTAATTAATAAGCAGGCGCCCCTTGATTGTGAGTTGCAACAAATACATGACTGGAAATTAATTCTGGGCCCTACTGCCTCTGCCTGGTATCTATCATGCACCCATTCTGGCCTTTACAAGTTTTGTTGTAATCTGTACGTAACGTGTGAGTTGCTGACTGGGTCAAGTGTATGCTTATAGCTAGCTAGTTAGTCACCACTTGGCCGGTGTTGGTGCATGCCCCTCCCTGTACAATGGGTAATGGGTCGGTGTGAAAGACATCTCGACAGTAGAGAAACCCTTGCAGTTATTGATAAGACGGATCTCCAACAAGGCCATGTGATCATCCTTGACGATATATGCGAGTCCCTCCCTCAACAAGTCAACAGACAACAGACCCAATTGCCAGCCACTCCTTATCTCATTGTTTACTCAAATCCTTATCTCTAGTGGGATTTGCAGTCCATTGTGATGTGCTGATGAAAATTTAATTTGTAGATACAATATGTTTGCTCTATCCAAAAATCTTTGACAAGTAGTTAAAAGACAAGACCCTCTAACCACTTGTTCATTTGATGAGTGATGTCGGGCCACATACTATCTATTTACAGCTCCCTCTCTCTATATATCTCTACCCACATTCTGAAAGAAAAGTACAACCATCTTTCCATAGTCTAGCCTTCACCTCTGTACTTTTCAGAAGAGATGGGTATCCGATTGCCTGGGATAGTTCATGCAAAAGCCCTTCTCCGACGTTCTCTTTTGCCTTCTACATCAACCGCTAATGTTCCAAAGGGTCATGTTGCAGTCTACGTTGGTGACCTGCAGACCCAAAAGAAGAGGTTCGTTGTTCCAATATCCTACTTGAGCCACCCTTCCTTCCAAGATTTGTTAGGCCAGGCAGAGGAAGAGTTTGGATTCCACCATCCAATGGGTGGTCTTACAATTCCTTGCAAAGAAGATCAATTTCTCCACCTTACCTCTCGTTTGAGTGGCTAGCTAATGAAAAGAGGGAAATGCAAGAACCTCACATTAAAGAGGCCAATCAAGAAAAATGGATCTGCAGTTCAGTTAGCATTCTGTGCCTAGCTACAACATCGCCAAATCAGAGGTTTGAACCACGATGATATCAAGCAAGTGGGAAGAGAACACATTCAAAAGCTGAATAAGAAAATGGAAGCTTTCTCCAGTTTTACAGCCAGCGGGAGAAGATTGTGCTCAAAGCTGCAGGGAAAGAACATTAACATTGATATATAAATTTACTTTCGTACACTCCAATGTATAAATTTACGTTTTTACACGACCAGGGAGTAAATCTCCCCAATACAAACATCATTAATTCAATAAATTCTTTTCCGTCTTTAATACTGCAAAATCTTATTGGTTACTTTTTGTTTTGATGTTGATAAATCCGTGCATCTTGTTTTATGCAGGATAACCTCTCTCCTTTCGTATTAAGAATTGTAGTGGAATTAATACATGGTAGAGGAGGGTATTGTACCATACATTATGTACCCAAGTTAGATTGCGATTAACAGTTGCCGAAAATTGTTAACCGTCCGGGATGATTTATCTCACCAACTCTCAGTACCTGATAGTGCTCGATTGGATGCTGAGACATCCAATCAAAAATAATGTTTTCTTGGTAAAAGGAAAAAGGTGAGCTATACAGACTGTAAAGTAGATTTTCGATTATGAGTTGGAAATTAAAAGATATGATATCTGAAAAATATTTGGCCAATTAACTGGAATCAAGAAAGTGGTACGAAATTAGTGTTATTTATCAAAATTCATGGGTGGGTTTTGATTGGTCAATTTTTTTTTTCATACCATATCTTTCTTCCATCATAGATTTTCCCATTTTTTCTTGTTTGTTGTATGAGATCAACCTGATTTCTTATTCTTTGGTTATATTGATGCCTTCATTTGATAATTAGGATATTGGGTTCATACCCCTAAGAGTCTGTTTGATTTACAGTCAGAATTGGAATTAAAATCCTCTGAAATTAAAATTGGAATAGTCTATTCCCATTGTCAGTTTGGTTTAGACAAGAATGGAAATAGGAATTGAAATTAGCAGAAATAGAATTTTATTCCTTAAAAAGAGACAGTAATTAGGATATTGGGTTCATACCCCTAAGAGTCTGTTTGGTTTACAGTCAGAATTAGAATCAAAATCCTCTGAAATTAAAATTGGAATAGTCCATTCCCATTGTCAGTTTGGTTTAGACAGAAATGGAAATAGGAATTGAAATTAGCAGAAATAGGATTTTATTCCCAAAAAAGAGACAGAAAATGATCATTCCCTCAAATGATAAAATGCTATTCCAGTAGAAATGGGAATAAGATTCTGATTCCAGCCAACCAAACAGTTGGAATCGAAATAGCTTATTCCAATTCTAATTCCAGTAGGGCTGTTCACGGGTCGGGTTGGGTCAGTTTATAAGGGTTTTCCCAACCGACCCGACTTGGTCGGGTTACATGAGGTGGAAATCGAAACTGACCCACTGGTAGGCAAAACTGACCTGATCGGTTTGAGTCGGGTTGGATTGATTTGAGTCGGTTTCGGTTTTGCTCCTATACAAAAATGATAGAGAAGCGTAGAACTAGGAGGACACCTAATTCTAATTGTAATTGACTAATGGGTTGCCTATTTAGTATAAAAGACTAGAGAAATTAGAAGATATGGCTGKTCTAGTTCTAGTAGAAGAATAGTAAGTAAGAAACTAGGAACTACCGAACTAGAAAACTAATTGGTTCGGTTTGGTCCGAATCGGTTTCAATTTTTACATAAGAAAACCGAAACCGACCCGATATATCGATTTATGATTTTGCCCAACCTAAAATCGACCGATACTAATGAAAACTCGACTAACTCGGATTAGATCGGTTTAATCGAATTGAACCTTCTTATGAACAGCCCTAGATTCTAGACCCCTATTCCCGCAAACCAAACGGGACTATCAATTGATGTATTGATCGGTAAAACTAATTCACTAATGGATCCCATTCCTCAAACTGGAATCATTCGGTCACCACCGTTTTGTATTTGATATACAAAACTCCAAATAAAATCTTGGGCTGAGAAGTAGTAGCTGTAGAAAGAGCAGAAGATACTTTGTATACAAACTCACGAGAGTATCTGAGTGCTCAGATATTCAATCAATATTAGGTTGGATGTATAATTGGTTTTTTTTTTTATTTTATAGAGTCAAAAAAATTGAACAACAAAATTTTTTTTTTTTAATATTATAACTATACCCCCAGTCAAAAATGTAATAGACTGTCTCCCGATTGTCTCATACACTTGTGAGAAAAAAGGTAAATTACAAAGAGCCCCCCGTATTATGGGGTCTGTAACAAAGACCCCTTATACACGAACAGCACCTCAGATTCTTTCATATTTCTCTCTCTCCCGATCTCTCTTTCTTCCCCTTCCCCCTTTCTCGTATCATTTGGGAAGAATAATCTGACGATGTGAAATTTCAATTCTCCCTCTGGCTGTCGGTCTAAACAAGCCCATTTTAGATTTATAGGCTGAAGCTTTTTGATCGATCAGTTGGCTCTTCTCGGTCAATCCAAGACTCCGATCCTTGAAAATTGCTGCTCGAGAATCTGGCACTGCCAAAAATCTCCCGTCACCACTGTAAATGAAGCTTGCGTCGATACTCTTAAATTCAATTTGGTGACTTGCACCGGATTTCAGCAACAGGTCCACGGAAGGATCAGCATAGAACAAAACCCTAGGCCCTGAGATATCCAAGCTGAATTTTTTTGAAGGTTCTAGAGATTCCGGGGATACGTGAGAGGAGATCCCAAAGTTGGAGTACAGAACGGGATTCAAGGCCTACAACCACGCAATCGCTCTGGCTGTAATTTTGTATTGATGTAGAGTATTCCTTCTAGGTTCCACATGGGAGCCCATTTAGAGAGAGAGAGAGAGGGAGAGAGAGAGGGATTACCAYCGATCACAAAGCTGGTCAAAATGGTTCCACACGGGAACCCATTTTGACATCGTCAGATTATTCTTTCCAAATGACACGAAGAAAGGGGAGGGGAGAAAGGGGAAGGGAAAGAAGAGAGATGTGTGAAGGAATCTGAAGGGATTTACCATCGTTACTCTTTGTGTATTGTGAGGTCGGAGAAGATGAACAGTATTTTTCTTCTTATTGTTAAAATAGTTATTATAAAGGTAATACAAGGATTAAAAAATATTGTAACAACGGATTTCAATGAAAAATTAATGAAAGAGGGTCTTTGTCTCAAGGTCATAGTATAAGGAAGGTTTTTGTCGCAAAACAAAATACAGAGGGGTTTTTGTAATTTACTCAAAAAATGTCAAAATTGGAACCATACTCAATATACTCCTTCCAAGACCCAGATAACTGTGATCAACATTAATTAAATAAAGGTAGGTTGCCGAATAGAAGCGAGCTGGTATAATCATGGTTTTGAAAACCGGGTCGGACCTGTTGCCATGGAACCTGTTTCATTTTATCCTAAAACTGTTCTTAGGCCAAAAATCATTAATTTGGTTAGTAATCTATTGACAATGATTTTTTGCTATTTTTTATTTTAATTATTTATTAAAATTTTTATTTTTTAAACCCAAAACAGTTTAAATCCTTGGAACATAGACACTTATTCATTACAAACAAGTTGTAAATTAAGCGCTGCATGCTGTAAATTGCATACAGCCTAACAAGTGTGCGTTGGTATATGGAGTAACATTGAGAGCTTATTCAAAAAAAAAACAAAAAAAAAACGTTTCATAAAGTTGGTTTGAATTTCATGTTAGCGGTGGCAATTGCGGGCTGGTTGGATTGGGTTTGAAGTTCAACCCAAATCATCCGCTCAAATCCATTAATTTTATATTTATGTACTTAAAATAAAAAATTTGTTCTCATTAGTTATAGCTTGGTGCTAATAGTAATTGTTATTTATATAAGTAGTGAAGGTTCAAATTATATTGCATGTATATTATTTTTACACAAGTGGCGAAGCCATTTAATTATGTTTGGGTTTTGGGTTTGATCGAATTACTTGGTTCAAACCGGTCAGACCAACAATTTGAATTATCTATTTGGATTGTCTTCGAGCTAATCACATCAAGAGTGGTTGAACCATTTAGATTCGGATCAGTCTGGTTGGACTGGACCAAACCGGTTCAGTCAGTGGCGGATTGACTTGAATCGACCCTTGTCAGGTTGTGCACGGGTTAGGGACCGAACCAACTAGTCCGAAGCAGGTCAATGGAATCAATCCAAGTCGGTGTAGATTCGGACCAAGTTATGTGGATACGGGTTGGGATGGTTGGACCGAACTGAGGGCCAAAGAAATCGGGTCAGATCTCGGATCGGACTAGGTCAGGTCCATTTCGAGTTCGGGGTTGACACAAATCTGGATCTGGTTGGGTTCGGGCTGGGGTGGTCGAACCAAATAAACTGAACCGAGGTGATCGGGTCTATTCAGATTTAGACCGGGTTGAACTGTTCCATACTCGGGTTGGGTTTATTTGAATTATACCGATTTGGGTAGAGGTCTAAAATGGGTCGTGCCAGGCCTGCGGCTCGCAGGCCATCCTGGGCTGTGTCGCCCTCCCTAGGGATAATTTGGGTGGTCGGCCTGGCACAACCCATGGCCCAAGCCCGTGCAGGCCTGGGCTGTGCCAAGCTAGGCCATATTGGTTTTTTTTTCGCTTTTTTGTTTTTTTGCTTTTTTTTGTTTTCTTGTCATTTTTTATTTTTTTATTTCTTTGCTAAGTAAAACTAAAATATTTAACTTTCCTTTGGGAACTATTTGAAAAAAATAGGAGAGCTAACAAAGAAATGAAACAAATATTTAACCGACTAAGAAGTCAAAGAAACAAAGACTAAAGTGAATAACAAATTGGAATAAAAATAGGAATTTTATTTCATTTATGATGTAGCGCGATCCGGTCACTCCTAGCTGGCACTCACGTGGCTCCTGAGAGGTACCTGAAACGAGGAGGAAGAAGAAGAATCCCCAGGGGGTTTGCCCGGCGGGAACGCTCCGACGATTAAGTCAGTATTCTATGTGAGAAGCAAAGGGAAGACGAAGGCTAAGAGTGCATATTGCGCAAGTGGTTCGAAGATACCTTGTTCCTTGAGAATAAGCCCCTTATAACAGAATTCTGTTGCATCATGCCCTCTGGCTAATGATAGGGCAGGTATATCCGCCGCTGTCAGTCTGCCACAGCCGTTACACGCAAGGCTGAGGTGGCACGTGCGGGGCCGTCGTCGCAAGGTACGTGCTTATCAGGTGTAAGGCACCTTTTAAAGGTGGCAGGTGCGATGATGTCTAACGAGGGACATGGCTGTTGTCCTCAGATTTGTCGGGTACGG